TCTAAAGCTAGAACAGCATCTGCAGCTCTGGGGAGCTTCTAAATAAAGTGAACTTATTTAGATGTAGCTGGAACTAAACCAGCGCTTTATGTGCTCAGCAGAGGCTAAGTAATAATAGGTTTGTTTATATAATTAGACCCCTATCAAAGCTCAGCAATGGCTGTAATTGCATGTGCCTTTAAGCAATGTTTAAGTGGAACAGACCCTGTTTTTTATTTAGGACCAAGTCCTACATAAAGAAAGACTTCGATGGAAAAATCTTTTTTTGTTGGGGATTTCTGTGTTTTTTTAACAATGAAAAGTCCCAAAAGCTCTACAAAAATAACCTCAGAAAAATGTGTGAGCCAATAAACTATAGATAAATTTGGCAAGTACTAGTTAAACTCCCATTGCTTCTACAGCATGGTTGCTGGATAACATAAAAGACACATATGCAAATACACTGACTGACTGATAAAAGTTGAGAAACAGAAGCCAAGACTTCTTGGTGGTCCAACTTGATACAGAAAACACTTGGCATGGGCGCCAGATACTGAGTGAAAATTTTGCTTACGTTCTTTCCCACCCCTTTCCAGTATTTACCTTACTCCTACCCAGTCATCCACACTGGGAAGCAGGAGTTATGCAACATGCCACATTCTGTGACATTCCCCAAGTCTGAAAAAGACCCTTGATTGCTCTTAGAAACAAGGCGCCCTTGTCAAGGTAACAGGAAGGAAATGGGTGTAAAGGGGCCGGCAGTCTGCAGCTCTCAGCATCTGAACTCAGATCAGCTTTCTGCTCAGAAAAAAATGCCCAAACTAGACAGATTGGTTTTCACCTTCATGTTCTCAAATCAGCATGGAAACATTAAGCCGCTACACCTGGATACACACTACTGATTGGACTGTTGAGTAGCCACGCACACCACAACATTAATTGCCATATGGTCTCAAGTTTGGTGCTTGATTAGGCTGTTTAGTCTCCATGCAACTTATCAGTGATGCAGCACATAGCCTTGATTCAGAACTACAACAATTTAGAATTGGGCCATCTGTCTCTCTCCCCACTGGGGTTTGCATTCCTTGTCCCAACAAAATAATAGAACAGAGAGAAGAGCTGTCAGCCCAAGTATAACCAGGAGGGTTTCTCTCCGGCACATCTGCTCAGACACTGTACTACAGATAATTAAGATTTACTGCAAACCTACATGTCTGATTTTTAGGATAATGGTGATAATCCCGGATCATTACTGGAAAGAGTTAATCCACATGCAATTGCCATGACTCCCAGGAATTCAGGGTAAATATGTAGTGCTGCACTCCTGTAGGCAGGAGAGGAGGCTGGAGTATCGAAGAGTATTTTTATTACAACATGTTTCCAATTCTTAATTTGTATTTTGTCATTATTAAAGTTATGGACAGGGTATAGATCCAGATGTCCAACCTTAGAACATTTACATAGATTTTAAACTTTTCTGATGTCAAAAAGAAAGAAAGAAAGAAAGGGGAAAAAACAGACAATACTTACACAACCCATATCCCAGTGATGGTCAGGACAGGGAGGCTAACAGGTAGTATCATCCACAGAGACATCTTCCAGCACCTTTCTTCTTTTTCCTCTCCAGCCAGCTGAGCAATGTCTTCTCAAGTAGGATTAACATTTATCTGAGTGTGACTGACATGTGCACCGACTCATTTTCCTGAAGATGGAGGACGGTTGATGGGACAGTGGCAGGACAGATGTCTCTTTTCAGCTAGTGAATGAGAGGATCGATAGGGTTGATTAGGAGCATTCACCTACTCATCATCATTAAATGATTAAGTAAACTATCAAGAACAAGCTATTAGTGACCACAGCAATTTAATTTACATCGATCAGCAGGGTGCATTACCTTACATAATCCTGCTTTCGTAAAGCTTTAGTTTTCTGCTTTTCTTAAATGTTCAACAACATTTTATAAGTTTGGGGGGGGGTGGACACATTAACCGCTTACATTTCAAATGCGACGGTTTTTTGTCCACCTTCCTGTTTCTAGCTAGCAACAACAAGCATCAAAGGTAAATCTGTGACAACTCACCTTCTGCCTCCTTGTAAGCTAGCAAATGCAGATTGTTTTTTTCTTTTTAGGAAAATGAAAACTTTGAGTACGCCGGCGTGTCCTCCACAACTCTGGCACCCCCAACCCCCCCAAAAACTATCACGACTTAGCTTTAATTTTACTTGGGTATGTAGATTTTTCCAGAGCAGATGGGACCTCGGTTAGCCGTGTTCGCGTTGAAATGAGTGGGGGGAAGGCTGGCTTCACAGCAGCCAGTCCTTCTGTATCTCAGCCGCCACGAGTATCCAGCTGTTTGACTCCGCCCACATTTGGTTACGCACGTGTGGGCGGGATAGCGCGGAGGAAGCTCAAGAAGACAAGTTTGTCCTACCGTATTTGGACAAAGTTTTAAATTATAAAATAGCAATTACATCCACACAATGTTGTAATTTGAATATTACTGTTTTAAAGCAGTTCCTTTCACCGTGAGACCCTGAGAGTAGGCCTACTACACTTGGAACCTGTACGTTTCCTTCGCTGTTAACGGTAGGAAGAGGGTACGGCCAGAATAGAGGGCTCTGAGTACAACCTGGAAGCTTTCGCATTTTCTTCTTTTTTGTGTGCATGTGTGTGTTTTTCTCCCGTGCTTTCTTATCTCATTGTAAAGACACGCGTCTTCGTCTTTACGTCAGCACCGTGTAACTCTCTGTTTATATACAACATGTGTGAATGAGCGTGAGACACCGAGCCCCTTAAACAAAACTTGTTTCTGCTGCCCTCTGCAGCTTTAACGAATTAATATTTTCATTTGTCAGCTATACATAATCTGCGCTGGGTCCTTCTGTGAAAAAATCAATTACGAATCAGTATATTTAATAAACTATGCAAAACCTTTCCCCCATTCTTTTCTGATCAGTTCCTATAACTTCATTAGTACAAAAGACAGACGCGTGGAATTTATCAGGACCAAAAAACATATCAAAGCGCCGTTAAAAACAGCAGACAAATCCTTTTTACACCGTCTCCACGTATCTTTCCATCTAAAACAGCAATCATGTAATATATTCATATAATGTGATATCATAGTTTAGATTGCAAAAAAAACTGCACCATTATAATGTCTATGACAAAGAGTAAGAGAACCAGTGCCCTAAATGTTTTATCTGTTTATCTTATAATTCACTGGAGCTTTCCAGACTTATATGACCACGTGGAATAGATGGCTGGTCAAACTTTATCACAGCCAGTGGTTCAATCAGAGGTGTACAACACATGAGCAACATGTGAGAGCATGGATAGGACCACCAGGAATGTAACATTTACTCATATACTTTACTTAGGTTTAATGTATTTGTAATATTTATTTTTGTCTGTATATATTTTTTAGTATTCTCATACTATGTTACTTTTTTATTCGACTATATTTTGAATGCGCTATAGTATTTATTTGACAGCTTTAGCTACTTATTATTGTAGATCAAGCCACAGAACACTATCGGTGAAATATGTTCAAAAACATATAGACATAAAAATGTCTGAATATGTTTACTTAAGGTACTTTAATTATATTTTGATTGTTCAACCTTTTCATTGTTAAGTTATTTAAGGTAGGATTATATGTTTTAAGTGAGTTAAAAATCAAAATACTTTCTTCCATTTTGCCAATGTCCAATAGATGACTATATTTAAATTCTTGGGCAGTTCCTAATAATTTCACAAAAAATGTGTAATAGGCCTCAATTTTCATAAACCTGAAATTATGTTTTTGACATCACTTTTCTATTTCTGATTGATTTGTTTTTTTATTAATTGTTTTGGTTTTCCTGCTATATTCTTGATTCCCCTTTGGGCTCCATGTAAAAAATCCTGGAAACGGCTTCAACTGGGGATGAACAACTCAGAACAACGCCTGGTACCTTCAACGAGCAATGAAATCTGATTGGCACATTAATGCATATTGCTGTCAAATGAGTTTCTTTTGATTTTGCTACCTCCAGTGATGCTTTCTCAGTAATAAGAAAATAATGTCGCCCCACAGTCCATTTACTACACCTTTCAGCACATTGTTTTTTTCTCATCCCTTTGATGGCTTCAAGGTGCAAATGTGAGCATATTCAATATCTAGCTCACGTTACAGAAGAGGACCAACCATAAATGGAGTAATTTTTTTTTTGCAGGTAATTTCAAAGTTCAACAAACATCATCACACACACAACTCAAGCAGTGCATCACAAAATGTATCTAATGTACAGTTGCTTTATTTCCCAGGGCGAGAAAAAACATCGGTGTGCAACACAGAGGTAGTGAAAAATGTAAGAAAGAGGACAGGAGAGGAAGATGAGAGCGTTTTTTCAAAAGTAGGTAAGTAATGCTTATTTATAAAGCACCTTTCATGTGCTCAAAAAGCATTTTACACAAATTAGAGTAAAATAAATGACAAAATGAAATGCTGTAAAAAATAAATCATAAAAAGTTAAGATACAGAATAAATTGAAAATAAGAAAAGTTTTCCAGTTTTATAAACTGGAAATTTAAATCTTGCATTAATGTCCAAATTTATTTTTAATCAGAGTTCTTCAGTCAGATGTTGGATCAGTACATGATGTGTTAAGTTACATCAAGTAAAACAGAAAACACAGTAGCAACACGGATCAGCTGATCACAGCCTGTACATTAAGAAAAATCTACTGCAGCTCACAAAAGAAATTCATATGTGACTTGTTTTTAAGTAATTCACATCCCCACATTGCACTGCAACACCTGATTTAACTACAAAACTCCACTTAGCCCCTGGTTTTAGCATATAGAAGGTCACATGTTTACCTAGATTTTTATACCAAGCATACCATGAAGGACTTAATTTATACTAAAGTTATTATACATTTAAAAAAAATCAACTGGGTAGAAACTTTATTCCATTTTGGCTGCTTTGAAATGTCTTTGTTATCAGCTGATTAGATGACCCATCAATTCCTGGTTATTGCTGATGAAATTCAAAAGTGTTTAATAAGTGGCCAGTATTAGTTAAAATAGTCAGTATCAGTCAATATGACATGGTATTATGATATTACATTTTTTTAGTCACTTACTTGAACAAGAAAAGAAACTGTTGAATCTAAGTTGTTGAAGGAATAACGTATTAATAGACTGATTAACATCAGCCCTTACAGCAACGTCATTCCCAGTAATGTGAGTCACTTTCTATTTATTGTGTTTTTAATAAGATTACAGAAAATGACAAATTAATCAGTAGCAATATTTAAAAAAATGTATTTTACAGACATGTGCAACATGTCAGTGATGTAAATATATAATACATTAACATAATAAAGAGAAAGAAAGAAAACGTGAGAAAGCATCCTGATCAATGATTTAATGTTTTTCTACTTACTAATGGCACCCGTTATATCTTAATTTCCCTTAAAAGAGCAACCTGTAACCAAAACACTCATAAAAAGACTTATCAGGAAAAAGTTAAATAAAAGAAGATAAAACCAGCAAAAATGACTCAAACACCACGTGCTAGATGTCACAGATTTAAGGAGAATGTAAGTCTGAAGAATATCTTACAGTCTTATACTCGTACCAAAGCCCCACACACTGAATGCAGGGTAGAGTGGCTCTTTAAATGTGGTCTGGATCTTGTGCAAAAGACGCATGCCATCAGAGACACTGTAAAATGCCAGTGTTCCTGCTGCATGGTCCAGGTACACGCCAATACGAGAAGACACCGGAGCTGTGATGTCTGTGCTTTTGTTGTTGTGCACAAAAGAGAATTTGGAGTCAGAGCAGTACAGACTCCAGGACTTGTCATTCCAGCCGAAGCTGCATTCATTGGCATTCCCTTTACGACGGATTCCTCTGTAGGTAACAGCCACATCTATCTCTGTTCCCTTCCAGTCCACCTCCCAGTAGCAACGAGTCCCAATCACACTATCCCTGCACAACACCTGGAAGAGAAAGGATGAAATGAAAGCTTAAAAGGCATGATTTCACAAACTATAGAAATTACTTTTTTCCCCTAATAATTTGATCAACTCTCTCTTTCATCCTGTTTAATGTGAAACCTCACCTGCTGCCAGTGGTCAAATCGGTCAGGGTGGTCAGGGTAGTTCTTGGGTTCATTCTTCATCGTGGCAGCTCTGTTACCCTCAGACAAGTGAAGGTTGGGGTGAACAGTGTTGACATCCAGAATCAGCTGACCAGCATCTGAACACAGCAGAAAAACAAGTCAAAAACTCTGGAAAAGGCAAAGTAAAGTTCGCCAGAGTCTCTGTTTTAAAACAGCTAACTAAAGAGGACCATGGAGAGTATCCTCACCAGCTGTGCCACCATGTGCAGCTACCTGAACAGAGCTCTCAATCCTGGATAACATCTATGCTAGCTATCTGACAAAGAGGGCCAGCAGTATATTCAAAGTCCTACCACACCCTTGACACTCCCTGTGGATAGTTCAGGACAATACATCATCACAGTAACTGACTGAGGAACAGCTTTTTTCCCTGGACTCCATCTTACTCCTCCTTGCCACGTCAAAGCACAGTTTCAAAGACCTATGAGCAGTGACACACACACACAGAGCACTACACACACCAGTTCATCAGGTCTGTAACATATGTTGATATACCGGCCTTTGTCCTCAGATACTGTTAGAGTATGAAAACTTCAAAACCTCCTGCTATACTTTAGAAATATTACGATTTTTAGCTCATATATAGAATGTTTCACTACATATAATCTAATTATTCTTTCCTATTTTTCATATATTTGCATCTATTGTTTGTTATATCTCTATGAGAGATAAGTGCCTGAGTATGGTAACAATTGTGATTATACCTTTAAAAAAGGTTTCTAGCTCCCATGAATCAGCTCATTCAAAGGTTTTTATAGGTGCCATAAAAGCAGGAACACCTGTATTTACTTAAGTAACTTTGCTTCCTTATGTTTCACCAAACCAGTTCTGCCACCAGCATACCTCCCACTGCAAGTTTCGGTCATTTCACACACAGAGCTGCATATCCATGCATGAAACAGTAACTGGAGCTATTTAACATTAGATAAAATACAAAATGTGCTTCCCATGACAGTATGTAAGTAGGATTTTCTGTAAATGCAATGCTGGTGCTGAAGGTTTACAGATAGGCTGAAGGAAGGTTACAAAAATGAATCCGGTAACTCACATCTCAAGAAATCTTCTCTTGCTCTTGGTTCTTCTCTTATCTTTGGTTCCTCCCTCAGCACGGATTCTCTTCTTGACTTTCTTTCTTCATTTTCTTCTGTGATGTGGACTTCCTTCACTGTGAAGGCAAATTAAAAATGCACATACACAACAGCAGATTAAGAAACAACAGAAAAAAGCACATATCATCTGCGCTATCTGAGATGAAAAAAGGCAAGTCTGTTCACCTGCTCCTGAGATTTTGCTCATTTCAACTTTGCTGACTTCTTCCACTTGTAATTTCAGTGCAGAGATGGCTCTCTTGGTAGCATCAAAGGAGTAATAGGGTGCGACTCTGATTTTGTTGAGATCTTCATATCCCGAGGGGCCTGACAGGGACTGCCAACTCTGGTGGGAAAAAAAAGAAGAAGAAGAAGACGCATGAGACATACCAGACAGTGAATATTTTTACTCTTTTCTCCAAAGACCCCTGACGTTCGCACCATATGTTATCTTGGTTGGGGTCGCCAGCCTCACCTGTAGGAAGTGTATGTGATCATCAGTGTGTGAAAGCAACTCCAGGTCATTGTGCTTCTTCTTCAGCAGAGTAATCTCCTCTTCTAAACGATCCAGCAGTGTTTCGGCCTGGGTCACGGTGGTCCTTTCGTGGGTGCGGATCATTTCCTTGACTTCAATATACTTTCTCTCGATGGAAAGCAGAAGCTCAGTGAATATGCGCTCGTTTTCCTCTAAGACTGTTTGAGCAGAATGCTGGTGAGATACAAAGGAGAGGAAGATTTTTTCACATCATGAGTTAAAAACGGTTACTTTTAAAAAGAATATTTTAATTGTTATAGTTAGATTAGTGTGACTTGCACGAGGCAACTTTCTGACTTACTTTAAGTGATTCGACAGCCTGTCGGAGGTCTTGCCACTTTTTAACCCTCTGATCAATCCTTTGTTGGGATTTGTGCAGCGTAACACTAAGTTGTTTCTATAGCAGCAAAGACAAGAAAGAAGCCATCACTAGTCATTAGTGGATTGTCGATAACTTATTTGCTGTGTTCACAGTGTTGCTTTTGCCACTTACTTGTTTCTCAGTCCTCTCAGTGCCAGCCGGGACGATGTCATGGTGTTTGTGTTCATCCATCATGCACAAAACGCACACAGATGTCTCATCAGTGCGACAGAAAGCCTCCAGCAGCTTGTCATGCTGTGCGCAGAGCTTCTCTCTCATCTGACCCGTAGCTTTGACCAGCTTGTGCTTCATCAGGGTAGGGTAGTTGTAGTGAGACTGGACGTGAGTCTCACAGTAGGATGCCAGGCACACCAAGCAGGACTTCTCAGCTTTCTGCTTCTTTGTTGTGCAGAAGTCGCACAGGACGTCCCCGCTCCTGGCCAGGGTCCTGGCTTGGTTGCGACTGTTGGGTCGACGAGATTTATCCAAGCTGGTGTATCTGTCCAAATCCAGGCTCCCGCTGTGTGACATTTTCTTACCAGGAGATAAAAAATATATATTTAGAAAAAAAAAACAATCCACAGGTGATTAAAGTTCAGCGGCTGTGTGAAGTTTTTAGGAAATCTGATGAGATGAGCAGCTAAAGAAAAGACTTGACTGAAAGTAAGCAGCGCAAGGAATCTACGAGGAGCTCCTGAAGTTGATCGCTACACTGAAACTGCGTGACAAAAGCTGTGAGTAACAGAATGTCTGCTATGTAATACGCTCTCTTTGTAAAACCAGTATTCCTAGTTGGACTTTAAATAATCAAAGAATGGGTGGTGCCTGAAATAAAGACAAGTGAGACAGCAAAAAGGAAATAAAAAAAGGACTACTTACTGATGAACTTAATAACTAAATATCATAAAAGTGTCAGAATTACTAGCTAGACTGTTGAGGAATTCATTTGTTATGGTTGTGTTTTATAGACCTCTATATGTAACCATACTTAATGCCACTCTCACTAACAGAACATTCATCAACAATGTGAAGGGGAAAACAGCATCATCTTGTGGGATTCCTTCTTTACTACACCAAATCTACATGTGTGCATTGTGAAAATATAATAGAAGCATCTAGACTGCTGTGCCAGTAGTTGATAATTCCCCCCAAAGCCGATGGATTTCCATTAAAAAAAAGACTAGTGTCATACAAAAAACAAAAAAAACAAAAAGCCATTTTGATTTTTTTTAACCCTTTGTCATCTTTCTGCATTTTTTGAGTGACAGGTATACAGTGTAGTCTCACATCTCCTACAGTTTGCAAGAAGGTGTTCGCTTTGATATTTTCCCTACAGAATTTTGTGCTAATATTCAGGCTAAATTTGCCTAACAACTCCCCCACCCATCATCTTTTCACTGTGACAAACTAATTCAGTATGTTTTAAGCAAATATTTGTAAATGTAGAAGTCAGCAAATTGAACATTCAAATAAGAATTATAATTGTTTAGGAATATGTTGGCAATAACAGTTGTAATCAGTGACAGAATACATACAATCATTTCTATGTAAAAGTCCAAAGGGGGTCATTGGTGACTATTATATACAGATGACTTAAAGAACCTTGCTGACCTGATGATGATGTTTATATTATATTAACCTTTTAAACTTCTCCATTTCATTTTTGTTTGTTTGATTGATTTTTATCTTTGATTTTCTAATTAATTATTATTTTCAGACATTTTTATGGGGAAAAGGATTTTGTCCTGACTCATCTCTGTAGATTCGTTTTTTTTTTCTTTGTCACTTTATGCATCAAATATCTGCCTGAAGTCTTGCTACTTTGTGTCTGTTGCAATGATTGGCTGCAAAAAATTACAATGAAATGTTAATAAAGCCCATAAGAAAGTAATAATAATTTACTCATTTAGTTATTAGTAATTTAGCTCTACACATCACCTGTATTGAAAATTAGTGCCACCACAGTTCTTCTCCATTCCTCAGACATCCTCTTACTCTCCAATACTGTGCAAAACAGTCTGTTTACAAAGTCCACCACCCTCTCTCATGTACACCTCCGTACCTCCACAGGTAAGTCATCTGGACCAACTGCCTTTAAACTCTTCTTTCTCTTCATAGCTGCCCACTCTTCCCCCTGTATTATGTCCTGATTATGTTTTTGAGTGAATATGATCACCTACAAAGAAGCTATTACAGCCCTAACTGGTAGACCGAGACTGGTAGAATGAGCAGATATCGTCCAGACACAGATGTATCTGCATTTTCTTGCTTTCAGTCCAACACCTGCCCTCATTTTGGTCGGCTGACTGGCATAGTAGCATTCAATCAGTGCTATATTATCAGTGTAACAGTAGCCTTTTTCTTAGTAGTTTGCAGTGGTTCTTCTGACCTTGTTAGTTATGTGTCCCTTGCTTGTGCCCTGAGGGAATTTAGGATAATTGAGGATCTACTCTGGGGACCTTTACTGGATACATGCCCTGACCAGTATTTGGTCTCCAACCTGTTGTTCCAGAGACTGTAAAGCTGCCACTACACTATCCACATAATATGGTTACAAAGCAGGGACCAGGAACTGAAGGAACAACTGGAGCAGATGTGGATTTTATGGAAGGAGCTGGAAACTGGAAAAGTGGCTGCAGCAGATTCCGGCATCTGTCCAAAGGAGTGCAGTGCTAGGAACAGCTAATATACTTGGCCAATGGTAAAGGCCCTGAGCTTGAGGACCACACAAATACAGCTTTATATATTCAATTATTTATTTAGGCTTAAAAAAAACTTTTTTGAATTTAGATTTATTGCACGTTTTTTTTTTTTGCCATGTTAGAGTATTTTTTTCACATTATATTTTATTTTATTGATCTGTATTGTCATAGCTTGCCTTTTTTGGGGGGTGGAAGAAACAGGAACATTAGCAGGTGAACTGATATAAACCTCATATTCAACTTTGTTACAATACAGTAAAATAACGTCAGAGACACTGTTATGGATAAACACTGCAAACTAAAAACCGTAAAGGAAATCTCCAGACTTGTGTCTGTGGTGCATTGTCGACTCCCAGCCTGTAGGGGGTGATTGTGGTTTCCGTGCTGCGTTGAAAGGACAATGGTTGCTTTCGCTAAAGTGCGTCGGTTGTCCAACGTTGGCGCCAGATGAGCTGTGGCGCCAGCTACACACACAGGCATAGAGAAAGAGAGAGAGAGGGCTAGAGAGGGAGGAAGATACTGAGCAGTCTACCCAGGCTTACTACATACAGTTTGCAACGCTTCTCTCTTTTTAAAATTCTCTTTTCAGCAGTCACAAAGTAAGCGGACAGAAAGGTGGGTGCGGGCCTGCAAGAATTTACACGTTTAAACAGCCGTGATCCTTTATTCCTAATGATGTGTTATATCGTTTAAATTCAGTATACTCTGGCATCAATAGCAGCAACGGCAGAGAGGCATAGAGGGTCGTTTGTGTTCAGCTTAATATATCATCGTAGTTTTTAATCGTTATTTTAGTCAGCGGTGTGTCTTGTGCGCCTCGGGTTCTGAACTTTGAGATGGAAAAATACAGGCCCGGGCTGGCACTGCTTGTGACATTATGTGCTGCTAGAACAGCAGGCAAGCACAGCAACACACTGGTATAAAAGACTATTTCAGGTTCGATTCCTATTCAGGCTATTTTTTGATTGCTGTTTGCGATTGCTGCAGACTCAACTCGTCTGTATTTCTTTCTATTTGCTTGCAGTTTGTCTTTGCATGCGAAACCACACTTAAACATGGTCGGATGGGCGGTTTAGTAAAGCTTCCGCTCCAGTGTTTTACTATCTACAGGCTATATAACTAAACTGGAGTGTAGGCTCTAACTGTGTTAGCAGACTGGATTAGCTGGGGGTTAGCTTGGCATCGTGGCTATCTAGCCAGCACGCTAATAATGTCTCGGCTGGATAGCTGCTAACATCAGCAAGGCCGCCATTGGAGTCGTGCGTGCGGTTTGTCGACTGCTGCCGCAGTGAAGGAGTGCTTCGGGTTTGTAGCCAAGACTCATCGTGTCCTTTCAAGTAGCGATTAAACGGCTTTTCTTGGTTGTTTTTGTCCGTATAATTCATTTCAAGCTGCATATGGCGGCGGATTTGTGTTTCGAGAAGTTCTTGTCTGCGTAAAAGACGTCCTTTCCCGGGCTTTTCGCACACCGTTTCGGGCTTTCATGGTTAGCCATCTTTGTTTCAGCTAGCCCACTCCTGACTGGAAATCACGGTGTGGCGCTTAGCGTGCTAACCAACTCGTCGTCGGCGTTGGTGTTGTGCGATAACGTTACTAGCGCTCAAACTATGATTTATGGTTGTCTCTGTGGTTTCCTGAGCACTCTTGGTTAATCTTTGTGAGCATAGCGCTGTCGAGATCGCTCTAATTTTAATGTTTAGAATGGCGGAAGCTAGTGCAGCTACCATTAGCAAGCGGCAGCCATCTTAGGCGAGTGTGTAATCTTGGCTAGCCTGGAAGTGCTGGTGTGGCACAACAAGATGGCCTGTTAATACTCGCACAAGGAGAATTTCCGCGTCGGTCGTTGTCATAAATTGCACTTGAGCGCAAAATTCAGTGCTGGTTTGGTGTAAGTATTTCGCTGTTTATGGACTTCTCACTACAATTACTCTGGTGAGGTTTTCCTTGAAGCTAGTTAGCTGGCTAAATCGTGAACACATTAGCAGCTAACACAATGCTGTTTTATCGTTAACCAGTCTCCCATCGACCGTAGCCAGCTAACTAGCGGCTATATTGGCTATTTGTAGCTTATTTGGAAGGCTAGCAACCAGCAGTTAAATGTTTAATAACAAAACCCTGCTGTTTAGATGTCCCGTTCTTATTTCGAGATGTATTCAGTTATGACTCATAATGAACTGCGCAGATAAGCGACAAGTGTAGGCCAGCCAAGTTTTTTGCTTGCGGATTAAGATAGAATTGCGAGTCTGATTATGATGTTCAGTTGGGTTTTAACATTTGTTAGCTGAGGAAGTCTACGCTAACTTGGCTAGCAAATTGTTGGTAAACCTTTCTTAGTAGTATTTGAAATTATCAGGTTATGTGAGATGAGGAGTGCAGGCATGAAAACATTATAATACTCCTGTCCCACCACTTTATTCATGCACAGTTTCTGAGCATAATGCTAAAGATTGAGCAGTTTTAAAACCCATTACCTTAGGCCAGTGGTTGTATAGTACAATATACAAATACACTTAAATCCAATTGTGGCCCCTCTTGTCTTGCCGATCATCTGTTAAACAAACGAGTCACCATCGTTTGTTTGTGCTGCTTTTTTGTGTTTGTGGAGGTCATGACTGTATATCCTGGACATACAGTGATCTTTACCTGGAGACTAGGTGGCAAAATTATGTTCACCAAGATTTGCTTTTGCTTACCTTGTCTAGCTAGATTAAACCTGACTGTTGGCGTGAAAACTGTCTTATTTAACTTATAATTTGGAGAGGCTGTGTATGTTTGATTCAGTATTAAATCTTTTTTTTTGGTATGGCTTTAAATCCTCCCAATGATGGATCCATCAATTTTCTTCCACTTATCCAATGTAAACTGTGCAACTGTAACAGAAAACACGTTTTTGTAAAAGGGACAGAACTGAACAGTGGTCATACTTTCACACTTCCCATGTGATTGCCATGTGCTTGTAATAAATGGATGAACTATTCACTTTACTCTTGTTTTATTTGTTAAATAATAGATCTGATGTCTGCTCATAGTGTACACGTCTTGCTCAACAATTAATACTTAAGAGTATACTTATTAGTAAGTGCTGATATTCTGTTTATTCAATTATCCTGTTTTTTCAGAAATGACTCGACTATGTTGGCTGAAACTGGGCTAGTGCTGTGTGATTAACTGAATTTTAGTGTCAGTTACTGTTTTGGATTTCAGTTGTTATTATGAAAACGAGGTAATCGAGGTCAAACTTCATGTTTTGATTAATAATATTGCTCTAATTTTGTCTTTCAGTCCAACTTTTGGTGCTCCCTGAAAGCCCAAAAGTTTCCAGAAAACCCACCATTTTAAGGACTCCGTTTTCAAGTTCAGCAAATCTACAATTTTACCAAAGTTAGTAAACTTTGCCATGATCTGTCACCCAGACTTAGACTCCTACTTAAAATTTCATTACATTTATAAGTGACAGTCAAGCAAAAGTTTTTCTTTACCAAATGCCTTTGGCTGTGAACAGTTATCTAAAATAAATTGTTTATTTTCCACTCTCACAGGTCTGCTTGACAACAAGAGCAACAGCGCGGCACAACACAAGACAAAGGTCTATCCCCCCGATTCTTTAGTAGGTCATCATCCGGCAAGAAAACGGAGGTCGTGGGGTTGGAGTGTGTTCTCATGGCCGAGTCAGAGACTGAATGTGACACACCCGGCCTTGACACACTTGGGTCGGAGTGTGTCATAGCCCACAGCCATGTCGACCTTCACTATGGCGCAGAAACTGAGATTATGACAGAAGAAAAGCGTGGATTAGAGCTGGAAATCCACGGTTCAGACTTAAAGATCCAGGGACTGGGGACAGAGCTCGGAGCTGTAGCGTGTGTGGATGCAATTGTAGCCGAGACAGACCATGATTACATTAAAGTGGAACATGGTGACATGCACTGTTTCACTGGAGCTGAAATCAAGACGACGGGAAACGAGGCTCTGCTGGGAGAGGTGCTGCTTAAGACGGAAAGTGAACATGTGGTAAAAGTGGAGTCTGACCATGGCGGGGAGCTGACAGTTGAGTCTGAAAACGGTGTAATCATACATGAAGCCCATGGCCTGCAGTGCAACGAGTGCGGGGAAATTTTTGGCAGCATAGCTGATCTTCACCAGCACTTTGAGATCCACAAGGACCTCAACCCTTACATCTGTGTCCACTGTGGTGAGAGCTTTGCTGTAGAGGCCAGTCTCAAGCAGCATATGAAAATTCACATGAAAGAGAAGCCCTATGTCTCTCCAGGAGTTGAGATGATGGGCAAAGATGTTATTGATGCCTTCAGCCTTAAGTCTCATCAGATGATTCATTTGCCAGACAAGCCCCACAGATGCTCAGAGTGTGGTAAGAGCTTTGCAGCTGCAATCACCCTAAGGGAACACATGAAGATGCATTCAGAGGACAAACCCTACAAGTGCACTCAGTGTCGGAAGAGCTTTGTCCGCAGAAGGCATCTGAAAAAACACCAGGAGGTGCACGCACGTGAGAAGCCATATACCTGTGGGCAGTGTGGCAAAGGCTTTGCTACATCTTCAAACCTGAAGCAGCACCAGAAGACCCATGCTGCGGTCGTGCTTGGAGACAAACCCCACCGATGCGCACAGTGCGGGAAGTGTTTTGCTGCAGCCGCCACTCTGAGAGAGCACCAGAGGATCCACTCGGGCGAGAAACCGTACAAATGCAACATGTGCAGGAAGAGTTTTGTCCGCAAACGTCATCTGAAGAAGCACCAGCAAGTCCATGCCGGAGGCAAGCCCTACACCTGCAGACACTGCAACAAGGGCTTTAATCACTCCTCTTCACTCTCCCGTCATCACAAGACACACCTGCAGAATCCAGTGTTTTCTCCACCTCAGCCTGGGAAACCCATGACCTACGGCACTCCCCCAAAGCAGAGAGTGCACCAGCAGGGAGAGAAGCCCTACATGTGTCACCACTGTGATAAGGGCTTCAATCATTCCTCTTCCTTGTCGCGGCACCAAAGAGTCCACTCTGAGGGAAAGAGCTACACCTGTGCTCACTGTGGCAAAAGATTCAATCACTCCTCCTCACTTGCAAGGCATCAGAGAGTTCACTTGGAGAACAAGCAACAACAGCAGCAGCCGCAACCACCGCAGGCACAACAGCAGCAGTACACCACCATCCCCACAGGGAAGGGATTCCCCAACAATACCTTCCCAAAGCAGCGCATCCTGACGGTTGAAAAGCCATACAGATGCTCCCAATGTGGAAAAGGCTTTAACCATTCTTCTTCCCTCTCCAGACATCATAGGATCCACGTAGACCAGTGAGCACCCTTTTCCCACCCTCACATGTGGTCCCATGCAACGCGGCTCCCCCCGCTCCCAAGAAACCCTCCCTTATCCTATCCTCATTTATGTTCTACCAATGTTCTCTTCATTGATATTACCACATGACAGGAAATGCCAGACCCAGCTTCTATAGACAGGAGAGGTCAGGTAAGCACATGACGCTGAAGTGGAGCAGCTGAGAATGGATGGACAGTAACACACAAGTCTTCAAAAGGACGCGGCTTGGCCTGAAAGACTGCAACCTATAATTCAGAGCTGAACCCGGGGCTTTGTGCTCAGTTTAAAGAGGGTATAATAATAGATTCTTGAAGAAGTCTCTATTCTTGTTTGTGATTATGCTTCACATGCTCCAGGACCTCTTTTCGAACACTTTTAAAGAAAACAAAATGTGATTTGAAGATCTACATTATAAATTTGTTACCTGGGGGAGCGGTGGGGGGGAAATGTGTTTCGCCCACTGGATGGTTTTTCAGTCATGCACCTTCAGGTGGGCAAATAAGCTTTTCAGCTGCAACTTTATCCAAGGTTACCGACACAATTGGTGAACGAGAACTGTTTCGATTTAAATAGCTCTTTCATTTTCTCTCACACAACCCATGTGAAGCAAATATCAGAAATCCAATGTAAATAATATTGATTTTCTTTTATATATATGTATAGGTGACTAGTGTGATGTTTCAAAAGATTACATTTTTGATAGTAAGCTCCACTTTGTCTCCATTTTTTTTTTTTTTTTTTTTTTTAAAGTGCTGGAGATCAAATTGTTGCAGGTGTTCAGTTGCAGCTTGTTCTTGACATTGGGCTCCACCAGACTTGAGCCATCCTGTATATTTATAAGGTTGTTATTTTGTATGTCTATGATGAGTTGGCGTTGCTGCATAGACTGTACAGAGAGCAATACTGGCTGGCTGACACACTGTCTATTATGACCTGCGGTTTAGCCATAAAGAAATGCATAATAGAAAATAAAAACCTAATGGGTAGCATATTCCAACATGAGCCGTGTCCTAATTATTTACCGTGCGGTTTCCTCTGTACCCAAGCACCAAATGTACATTAAATGCAACATCACACTTTATTCCTTTGGAGACTAATTCAATTACCTGTGTATAGCATATAGGTAACTCTTACTCATGTTGATCTGCGAACTATCACAATTTGATCTAAATGGAGAGAGAAAAAAGATTGTGTATACTAAAAGACTACATGAGAAAATCTCACTTTTACAAGATTTTCCAATGTCCAACGGATAGCGTTCTATTTACTGTTCTGTGTAAAATATCTTTTACAAACTGATGTATTTTTTTAGATACAGCTTGGGCTATATGAAAGGGAATGAGAGAGATACAGTTTTTATCAGAGTGAACATTTTGGTGAGCAATATTCTTTTTATTTCAATAACAGTTGTGCTTCACTGTAGCATAGGTTTCTTCCTTGTGTTAGATAGGTGCCTTATTGCATGCTATGTAGAAATGTATGCCGAGCTGTTGAGAAAAAAAAGTTAGGGGTTCCAGGAGTCTTTTGTTCTTATTCATACTAACTTTACCCTACATTTTAATTTGATGTCACTGATACCTATTTTTTTGCTTTTTTTGCTTTTGTGTATATTACCATGTGTTTACACTGTTACTACCATATTGTCTATTTTTTTTGCCCCTTCATTTTTGTCAATGGCCTCACTGTAGAGAGAAAACATGTAAAAGATCCATATAGACTTCTCTTAAGGGCAAATCCTGTAACACCTCTTCCCAGTTTGAGTGGCACATATATGGATAAATAAAGGTTGTTGACTACCTTGTGGTGTTCAGTCAATGGAGTACAGAGATTTATGACAAAGTCCATTATTTTCTAGATGGATGCCGTATTGCTGACACACAACTGGTGGGTTATGTGGGTTAATGTGTTGGCATGTTTACCTCAACACAAGGTTGCGGTTGCATTTCCACAGTGTCTCCACATGGTGTCACTCTTTCTCCTTGAAACATCTTCAAGAACAGGGAGATTCCGGCTGTGAAGCAGGTCCTGGTCTTCAGTTTAACATCTGTTTAAATAGTAGTTTTATCCTTCCTGCAGCTGAACATTTTTAACTGAAACCTCACCTTAACTTGTTTGGCCTTCAAGGCTAGGAACAGCCCTTTTGAAGCTTTTGGGAATTTCCTGTGACCTCTGTAAAAACATCCACGTAATGTCTCCCACGCTCACCACTACACTGGTTTATATTCATTCTCAACTGCAGGGTGACCTAAGTCTGCTGAGGCAGACGTTCAAGGCTGAGGACTCATTGTCACGTAACCCTCAGAAATACTGAGGTTATGCAGACACATGGATATTTGCACTGGGGTGGCTGTGGTTCAAGAGCAAGAGTAGGTTATCCGCTGTTATGAAGATTGGTGGTTTGATCATCGGCTCCTCCAACCTGCAGGTTGAACCATCCTTAGACAAGATAGTGAACCCCCCGAAATTTACTTGCTTCTTAAAACCCAACAACATATTTTTTAATTCATTTATTCACAAAAATAAAGTACATTAGAATCTGTCTGTTTTAAGCAATATCTACCAGTTTAATAAAAGCAGAGCTGTTCAGTGCCGTTGCCTGACAGCAAGAAGATCCCAGGGTTTGAATCCCAGGGTATTTCTGTATGAAGTTTACATGCATGCCGTCGGTCTCTCCAGCTTCCTCCTACATTTGCGGGACAAGCATGTTAGGCTAATTAGTTGTTAATTGGCCGTATGTGTTAACGTGTGTGTGAATGCTTGTCTCTCCTTTTGTGTTAGTCCTGCCACAGACTGGCAACCAGCCCAGTTTCACCCAACTCCAGCTGCCCCACGATCCTGAGTTGGAAAGGCAGAAGAAACGAATGGATGGATGGATGAACTGGGGCCAGTTACACTGATAGCATAGCGTAAAATAATTCTTGCAGGCACTCATATTGTGTTGGTAAAACGTTTCATATGGAGACGTCCATTTCAAGACAATGTGGGTTTATATATACAGTTTTATTTGTAGTAATTTCTACATGACGAGAAAGAAAAAGGGTAACACTAGAGCTGTAGAGAAGGAAAACTGTACATTTAAATGACACAGTGCTGCTAATACACCATGCACCATGGCATATCACAAAGTTATTTACAAAAACACAAAATATATACTGTACACCTGTACACATGCCTCTTTAGCAATGGCTATCATTATGTGAAGATATGCATAAAACTGTGATATCGGATATATTACTAACTGTCGTATATAACTACGAGGTTTGAGGCCTCTTCCAGATGAGGCCTGTGAAGGTCCAACGTGAAGTTCAAGCCTGCTACACGTTCATGACAGGAGTCAGCTGCAGCAGTGAGCTCTGTGCTCGAATGGCACTGCTCTTCGAATGCAGTTTCTCCAGGTTCTGCAAAAAGCCTCTTCTCTTGAGGCCTTCAAGAAGGACAGTGTTGCTAGACGCCAAGCTGACCCGGGTCCTGTGGAGGAAAAATACACCACTTCAGTAACGTATGTGACGTGGTCGTGCACTCCCTGCTTCTACCTACACACCAGGGTGCACGGCGAGTTCAATGGCAAAAAAAAGAAAAAAAGAACTCCCTTCTTCCTCTTTGATTATAACATGAGTGTTTAAGTACCGCACAGCAATTATACATAATTATCATAAATGACTCCCTTCTGTTCAAATACTGGATGCTATAAGTGGCCACAAGGTGTTTGTTCAGCTTTATTGCAATTTACTTTATAAGAAAAAACATCAACTTGAGAGCATGGCCAACCGCAGACACGTAACCCAGAGGTTAACTAACCTCAGTATGGTGTTTATTCTGCCCAAAACCCCTCCAGAAATATGTGGAGGATGCAGTGTGGTGTGGGCTCACAATAGGAAAGACATGAGTCAGAGGTGTGAAAAGTAGTCAAAACTCTGACCACAAGAGATCGTGCATCTGGGTTGGGATCAGTGGATTTGTTAAGATTCAGTATCACCTCATTATCTTATTTATAAAAAACGATTTAAAGAGAGAGACTCACCTTGGAGAATCTATACCGCTGTCTCCTGTGATGCTCTGATTCTCTCCCGTTTCCACAGCTTCCCTAACGTCTGGCCCTCTAGCTCCATCGGGCATGCTCAGAGCAGCCCTGTGGGCCTGAGGTACATGCTTCTCTTCCTCCTCCTTCTTCTCCACCTCAGCTGCCCAGTGAGCAGACTCACCGTCACCTTCATCAGCCGACTTCCTCACAGTCTCTGTGTCTGATTCCATCTCGCTAGTCTGGCAGTAGTCAAAGATGCTACTGTCTCCAACTTCACATGCTTCTGAACAGTCCAAATCAAGGTCATCTTTGTGCTGTCTTTCTCCCTGGATCGCTGCATCCCGTTTTGGGCTGGATTTGCTTTCGGTTCTTGGTGATCTGATCTTCTGGTGTTGATGATGGAGTCTCCAGCTGGTGTCTTCAGGTCTGGACGGGCTGAGGGTATCTTCCCTCTGGACTGCCAGAGAAATTCGATCTGCTGACCCCTGCATTAAGGTGATTTCTGGCTGGTGAAAGTTGGATTTAAAATGGCGACTGTGTGGTCCCTGATACTTCAGATTAGAGTCGTGGTTTTGGTAAACCAGCTGGTGACCCTGATAGTCCGCACCACCTGCTGTGTACTTACTTGCATCCTCTGTAACCTCATCGTCATTCAGGCACAATGAGCTGCAGGCATCATCATCCTCCTGATCGGCTGCTCTCTGATAGAGTCTGCAGTCGTCCTCTGTAAAGCCATCAGTGTCTGTTACCAAGGCAGTGCTGTTAGATGTCAGTTCCAGCCTTTCTCCCAGGCTCATGGCTCTTTGCTCTCTGTTATTGACAGTGACAGGTCTGATCTCTTGCAGGTCCTGGGTCTCTGTAGTTTCAGAGAGCTCATTAGGCCTCTGTGTGCTGTCTTTTTGTGGGTTGGAGAGTCTGAGGGAATGTTTCCGCTGTAAAGAGGGCTTGGGCCATGGCAGATTTGGATCATATGCATTGTTTATTATGGCAAGCTCATAGGGATGGGTGGGGAGAGAGGCATTAGCACTGGAATACTGCTGGATGTTAGGAAGACTTCCAACTATATTTTGGCTGCGATCTGGCACACTGTCATATTCTGGGGCATCCTGAAAATGTTTGCTCTCTCTGTCCTCTCTCTGTCTGACCTTGTCATCTATGCGAAGCGTACTGCTCTGTGGGTAGACTGAGCTGTAGTTTAGTGGCAGCTCTCTGCTGGGCTTCGTGTCCGACTGGAAAAGAAGATCAGCACTAAAGTCCCTCTCAGGGTTGCAGCTGTATTGTTCTTCAGATGTAGTGAATTTCCCTTCATTCTCTCCATCTGCTGCCATCAGTCTGGCTCGGTGTGGGTCCCAAGATTTGGAGCGATGACTCGTTCGGTCCTTCCTCCCTGATCCCGAAGTCTTGTGCTCTTTCACCTCTCGTCTTCTGTGCTCTCTGGCAGCGGAAATTCTGTTCTCGGCTTCTTTCAGCGGATGTGCCTGGAAAGGGTTTTCAATGCGTTTCTTATAAAGAGACTTTCCCTCAGCAGTTCCACATTCTTCCACTTGAACTGGTTCATCAACAGCGATTTCCACTCTGAGCCGCGTAGGGATCAAATCCTCCCCCTCTGGATAATTGTCCGCACATATGGAAGCTTTGTTCTTAACCTTGTCCTTCTCCTTTTCCCTGTGCTTCTCTTTGGACGAGTGGCTCCTCCTCTTGCTGCGAGAGGCTTTCTGAGCAGATCTTTTGCCTGCTCCTGCCTTGGATGAGTGATGATGCCTCAGTTTTGAAGATGCCAATACCTCAGTAGACATTCCCTTGTCAACTCCCTTATCATCTTTATCAACACCCTTGTCCAGCACTTTTTCTATCCCTCTCTCCCTTCTCTCCTCCAGCTTCTTCATGAGGACGGTATGGCGTGTCAGATTGTCCACAGTTAGCTCAGGGTTGATGCGTTTGATGATTGCATGCTCCAGATCACGGGGTAAGTTGTTCAGGTCTTCCTCGTCTCTTACAGGCCACTCTTCTGGAGGGAACTGGCCTGAAAAAGATGCATACTCCTTCTTCGGTTTCTCCTTTTTTCCTCCATTCCTCCGGAACAAACTGAGCCCAAACCTCCTCCCTGGTTTATCTTTTTCTTTGCGGCTGGTGGCGTTAGTAGTGGCTGTAGTCTTGCTGATCTCACTTGCCTGACAATCTGCTGCAGTGGAGGTGGACTGATGTTGCACGGTGGGTTTGTGATCTAAAGGTCGCGGCCACTTTAAGCTTTTCCCCGTGCATTCGCTTATGGACACGGACACGGAATGCTGATCTGGGACGGTGGAGGGAGGGACAGTTGCTGGAGCAGTCATGGCATTAGTGGAAATTTGGAGGGGGCTAAAACAGCTGCAGGACTTGCAGTGGGCGACTGGGGGCGTTTGTGTGCTCTCGACGCAGATGTCGTTACTTAGCAGGTAAGTAACGGGAGGAGGTAAAGGAGCGTCATCTGCTGAAGAAGAAGTCCACCAGTTCTTCTCTCTGACCATGTTGTTGGTGATGAAATAAGTCTGTGGAGTGACGATGAAGTAGCCCTCGCCTGTGTGGTAAATCTTGCGTTCCTTGATCAGATTGCCTAAAGCGTTATAGAGGATGTCCTGAGTGGGGATGGTTATCCCTGAGACACAAAAAGGGAATGCGATTAAGGCCAAAAGAGATGAAATGTTTATAATTCCAAATCTCTAATGCATAACTGAAAACTATGAAGCTACAGCCAGCAGCCATTTAGCTTAGCCCAGAACAAATGGTGAAAACAGTTCTATGGCTTTCTTTGCTCTGGCCAAAGTACCTTGATGATCAATAGTGCATACCCGCAGATCTGTGCACTAATTGTGCATGCGAACGTTTCACGCATAAATCAGTGGTTTATTATTATTTTTTAATTCACAAATACAAATACATTTAGTAGTGCCACTGACCATGCGTACAAACAAATGAAGGCCTCGCTGTCCAAAAGCAGCATATGTCGTAAAATGCTCGATAAAATGAAAAAAATAACTGCTTGTAAAGAAAAGAAAATACTGCTCCCATATTAGTATATGAGATTTATGAAACATGCGCACTGACCTATTTCGTTCTTGACCATGGTGAAAAAAATAAGAAAAACTAAATAAAGTAATGCTCCAGCTGAAGTAATAGAGGTTCTTAATATAATTTCCCCTTAGACACTCACTGTGGCTCAAGGACTGGTATTTATATAGTGCCTTTCTACTCAGCTGGTAAAAAAATTAAGACTATAAGTGTTGACATCTAGCAATGATATAATCCCTTTTAATGAAATACAAGATCATTTAATTATAAGATAAGAAAATACTGAAATATGATTAAAAGTTAAACCCTTGATTTTTCCATTTACTTAATAATTTTTTAATTTTTGTTTTCTTGAAATAGTATTTTTTTGAATTCTATTTTTTATTTAATTGGGATTCTGTGCATTTTGTAACACAGTGTTTTTGGAAAACTGCAACTAATGACCAAAAGGCAACATTATCATTGTTATTATTATTGTTGTTATTATTATTGGTAGTAGTAGTATTGCTATTGAGTTTAAAGGTGTGTTTTAACATTTTCTAAGCATTTTCTAAAGTCTTCGTTATTTCTACACACGGTCAGAGGCACTTCTAATTTTTTCATAGAGTACAAACAAACTCCGCTACAAAAATACTGATAAATCGCTCATTTGTGCATGAAATTTTTATATGCACAGATTTGTGTGTGCACTGTTAGACAACGAGGTCCAATGTTCTTGCCTAACTATTCATTTCTCAAGTAAGCTGTGGCAGTATTTCATGGATTACCTGGATGAGCTTTGCTCATGTAGTTGACAAGTGAGTCTTGACTGACGGTGATCTGGGAAGAGTTCATGTCTGAGATGACTGAGCACAACACCTCAGCCAGGGGAATGAACTGGGACTGAGGAACAGGCGACATCTGCACTGGGGACAGGTCACCTGAAAACACACACACACACACCAGCGTGGGTGGAACAGGTGGGCCTGCTGCAGGAGATATAAACACACCTGGGACAGAGGGTCTCTCTCTGACTTGCGCTGCCAGTGAAAACAACTCAAAGTACTGAAGTTGACATTCCTGTCCCAACCACCTCCTAAATCATGACCAAGGTGGTCTATTTATGTGAGTTATATGAACCATGCCTGACTGCTTTTGGAATTCCATGGGTACTGGGACTGACCACAGAATTCCATTACTCCCACAGAAATGACCACAGCTCTGCCTGCTGGGCAGATCAGATATCCTGCCCCCATACCATAGAGACCTACACATCTAGGAGCTGCCCCTAGACAAACATGTTACTAAACCTGAGAGACACTATGAAAAGGGGTCTTGGAAACATTTGTCTCTGCAAAAATAGTATGAAATTGATTCTTTAAATGTGCACTTCATATCACAATATCCCAGCAATCTGCACAACTTTACAGACCTTCGTTTATCGTGCAAACAAACTGTGGGAGCCTATTAAAAAGCCACAAAGCTTTCAATCATAAAACCTGAAGCTAACCAGGCATTTTAGGAAACTTTAGACCAACATGAACTTTCACAGACGGAGAAGCAGGGATTAGAGGGTTGGGATCATATTGAGGGGACTCTTTAACAGCATATTTATAAGAGTGGACTGAATGAAGGGGAAATGAATGGAGACTGGTTACATGAACGTTTCTCATTTGGTTAATGTGTTACTGTGTTCAGAGACAAGAGGCAGTTACTAGTACCAGTGTCACGACACGCAATCTTCTTTTTCCTACAAAGTGAGGTAACATCATAGGGACAGACATTTGCAGCTCGATCTGGGTTCCAGGAAGGAAAGCAGCAAAATTTCTAGAAGATTTCTCCAAAGAGGGTGCAAAGGCCAGCCAAAACCAGAAGACATAGCATAATATCAGCAATGTTTACTTTTAGAGGGTGCTGAGTATTAATTACAGAGTAGAGTTCACATATATATATGTTAGGTTAACAGTAGTGGTGGGTGGATTTGATGTGGTAATGAGTACGAGGAGAATGTGGGTTTTGCTGCAGTGGATAACTTATGTCTTGCAAACTAACATAAAAGGGGGAAAGAAATGCTTGCAATATGAGCTACAATGTTGACATGCTAACAACAATGTTATCCCAGCATACAGCTTACAACCAGCCAGCTGACCAAGGGTCTCAAACCCACTGCTGATGAATGATTAGACTTACAAAGTCATGGACAGAACCTTACCCATCGGAGTGGAAAATTGGTTTTAGTTAATCATCTACACCACACCAGAGAAAGGAGTGCAAAAGATGATAAACAGGAAAAAAGAAAATCCAATCCATCAAAAATGCTACTTGAGTCCTAACATGAAAACTTGAGTGTAAAGTTAACACACACAAACACACACACACAACTAATTAAATTCAGCTACGTGACCACTTGGAACTTTTGGAGACTGCTTGTGTTGACAACAGTGTTTTGTGTATAAATGTCACACTTGTATGACTGTGAGTGATTTCCTCATCAGCCCTGGGGCATTCATTCAAAAGCACTGCCAAGCTCACCACGTGATGTAAGCTAAACATTTACAACCCTCACACTTGAACCACTTTTGTCTGAGGCAGGGAAAATATACAGCTAATCAAATATCTGCTATAGTAAAGAATGAGAACACGCATACGTATCACACACATGATGACAGATGCAGGCAAGTTTACAAAAAAACCTATTCTTTCAAGAGCAACGTGTCATTAGTCAAAATCACTTATTTTTCATCATCTCAGCGCTTGCATTACGACCACAGAATGTTTTGACAGATTTTATATGGGAAAAAATGACTTAATCAGTGTGTACAATCTACCACACGACCATAAATGTAATCCAGTGTTAAAATATGTGATATGAAATTACATATTGGTACAATTAAAACATTCTGGCTTCTTTGCATATATAAACATGAAAACTAAGGTTAAGATCGGGTTAAGACTTAAACTTTTTACAAAAAGGGAAAGAAGTTGGAAAAAGACCCTGCATAACAGCTTTTAGCCACACAAATGAATAATAAGTAGCCTAAAAGCACTGTTAACATAATATTTTAATCACTACAAATGGTCCTGCATTTCAGTTAATTAAAAAAAAAATGGAAGGAATATGTGAACCTAAAAAAGTAACAAAACAATTATCAGCACATGGGGTTCACTTAATGCTCGTAAGGTTCACAGGCAGAGGTCTTTCTTTGCAAAACTGATCCTATGAGGGATTGTAAAAGAAAATAAAAGCTGCCTTCCCCCAGCTGAGACAAGACATTAAGCTGTCTAAACCTCAGAGCGGATATCTCAACAGCGGTCTCCCTGGCAGTAAATTAGTGCTGCTGACTTAGCTCCTCATTGTCGTTAACTTCCTATAGGAATGTCTGGCAGGCTGTCTGCATAGAAACCACATACAAACACAGTCAACAGTGAAAATGTCAGCAAGGTTAGAGTGGGAGGCAAATAATTAACATCCTAATCAGAGGGAATCAACAAACTAATCTTCTCTTTGCACAGAGGTAATTTCAGTGGATTGATTGTTATCCTCTTCGATCGTGTCCTGGTTTAATGCATGATATCCTGTAGGACCCATGCTATTACGATTTTTTCTTCTAAAGAGGCTAAATGCAAATATATTCATGCAATAGGTTTGTTACATGCAATGAATTCCAACTACATTGAAATGTTGGTGCAAGACATGACAAAAAACACCTGTAGGAGTTCAGATGTGGGAAATATTGCTGTAATGGAAGGATGGGGCCGGCTGAGCATCCGTGTTTATTGAGTCTAACATTAGCAGGCGTGACTGTCGGAAAGGTTCAGCGTTGTAACCGCCTCCTCTCCAGGGGGAACGGATCTCTGTGTTGCTGTAATCCAAGACCGGGCCACCGACATTAAACCCTTTGTCATACACAGCATGAATACCCGGCTGGGCACCATGGCAACCGAACCCTGTGTCATAAGGGCGAGACAGGGAAAATAGCAGCTTGAGAATCAAAACGGGGACGAGCATTGTGTTAATGCCAGTTAACAGAAGGAGTAGCAGGTCGATATAACCTTGTAAAAGCTGCTCTCAGCTTGTATAAAATGTGGAATATTGGTTTGTGCAGCTCTCTGCAACCTTCAAGTCTAAAAACATTTTTTTTTGGGGGGGGGGGGGGAATGAATTAAATTGAGCTAATCTGAGCTAATTCTTTTTCTGTGAAAAGGAAAGTTTTCAAATACCTGCAGAGATGCCTGTGAAAAACACCCTCACTGTTTTCATATACATTAAAAGGGTAAGTAGCAGCCAGGTGCTACTAATCAAATGCACTTGATTTATGGATGGAGCACCTATACAAATGCCCTCAAAGTTTGCTAATCTGCAGCATTCAGGTGTGTGTTTGTGAAGTTTGCCAGCCTCTTCTTTCTAAAAATTAACATGGCAGCATGACTTAGGCTTGTAAAGTTGCATCTGAACAAACCACAAGACTTTAGACAGACATTTAAACAGATTAGACCAAAGTGGAGATCTTTGGCCATAATGAACTAGATCACATCTGGTGAAAATCCAAACACAGCATATCAACACAAACACATAATACCAGTTGTCATGTGCGGAGGTGGCGGTGTGATTATTTGGGTTTGTTTTGCAGCCACAGGACCTGAGAATCTGATGTAACATAAACTCCTGTGGATATCAAAGTAATGTCTGACAGCTCAAGCTGACCTGGCAGAAACTGGGCAGCAGTTGAGCTGTTGATTGTTTAGTAAGACAATGATCCCAAGCACAGCAGGAAATCAACAACAACAACAAAACAAAGAATCACAATGGTCCCGTCTAAGTCCAGTTAAACTCTGGAGCTCAACTTGATTGACACCTTAAGAGAGCTTTGCATAAACAAATGCCTGCAAACATTAATGAATTGAAAGAAGAGTATGCTAAAATTCCTCCATAAAAATGTAAGCCTGATAAAGTCGTACAGAAAAAAATATGTATTTATTCGAATGTTTACAGTCCTGAGAAAGCTCTTTTTTCACACGATTGTTCATGCAGATACACAATCTATAAGCAGTGGGTTTTTGGTACTGGAAACTTTCTGATTTCCATTTGAAGTCCGGCCACAAGCAAGAAAACAACTGAGAACAAAGGAGGGTAGGCATCTGCTGAAATGCATCACCTCGCAGTCTCTTTAATTTATCTGCATTATCTGCTGAAATGGAAATCTTTGACCACTTACTACACTGGCAGCACAGAAAGTCCAGAGAGGTCTGCTGGGTTAACCCGCAAAAGAGCAAGTCAGCAGACTAGCCAATGGATTTCCAGATTGCATATGGCAAAAGTTGAATCCACTGCACTTGGTGCTTGACTCATACTAAAGGCTTACAGGTCATGACACTGGAGTCTCTGTGATACTTACGTCTTGCCATTTTATTGAAATGAGCTATGATACACAGTCATATATAAATATGCAGAAAGAAAAACAGTTTAAGCAATGTTATAGTTATCCTTTCCATCTTGTTCCTACAGGAATAGGAGCATGAGTTTCTTTCTCAGGGGTGCAATGCTTAAATCACATGCTGGTTTGTATTAAAATAACTTGAAATTAAAAGATCATTGTGATTTTATATAACGAGCCTGATTTTTGTTTCATGAACAGCATTAACCACAATATTAAAATAAAGCGACAAAGTCCACACTATGATTTCTGCCCCTTGCAGACCTAAAAAACATTCTTCCAGTGTCATAAGTTTTCCATGTGAGAATAAACTGCTGCCTGGGGAACAAAATGAAAAATATCTAAAGCCGACTGTTCATATTGCAGCAATGACTGACAGAGACCTTCTCTCCTCGATCCCCACTGAGATACTTTTGGCTGCTGACACTAATCAATACCACATGTATTCACATGGCTCACATGGTGTTTGCAGACCTTAGAGCCTCTTGAGTCTCATTTCATACGTG